GTCTCTCAACATGAGGATTTGTTCTGTCATCAGAGGACAGGAAGGAAGGATCAGGGAGGGGACCAAGGTGTGCAGTGGCCAAAATGACTCCATGGTATCAAACAGCAGTTCACAAAGTTAAATTTGCCTGCTAGGAAATAGAACCAAATGATAATCTGTAGATGCTCTTCCTAAGAGCCTTCCCTCCCCAATTTCATTTTGGAAGCAAAGGACGCTGCTGCTTCATTAGAGAATTCCTAATAAATCAGGAATTATATTCTAAATATATGCTATAATTTTCAAAAGTGTAGCTGCTGCTTGTCAAAAACAATTCGTTAGTCTTTCATGTGGTACGGTATAAAGCTGCTTATAATCTATATAAGTGCTAGCTATGGCTTTGATTGTGTTTGTACATTTAGTTGCAATGTGTTTTCATAAATAGTTTGTTAACATTTCTTCTGCTCTCATTTTTTATGCATATCATTGCAATTTTTTTAAAAACAACAACAAAAACACTTTCAGCAAATTAACTGGTGATGTCTCCGGAGCAACAGCCAGTATTGACATCAAACCAAAGTTCATACAGCGAGCCAAAACATGGTCGGATGAAGTTGAAAATCTGTACAGATTTCAGCAAGCTGGCTATAGGGATGAAATTGAATATAAACATGTAAAGCATGTTGATGCGGTAAGGCTTGATAATTTTTAAGAATTGCGTATTTTAAAGATGAACACTTACTATTCTGTATAATAATCTCCTTAGGTTTGTGGTACTTTTTCATCTTTCTTTCCTCGTGGAATGATTTGCTACTGTTGGAGAAAAATGCACCATCAGAGAATGGAATAAAATTCACATTGCACAAAGCCGTAATTTGTTTAGTGAGGGTTTTTCCAATCACAAGCAAATGAGTTTGTGCAACATGGCAAACTATATAACATAGGTTATAAATCCAGATGGCTGAATTTGCACATTTTTGGATCCTCCTCTGGTTCCCGGGGGGGGGGGCTTTTAAATACCCTGGAGTAGCTGGTGTATCCTTGAGCCAACAAAAGTTGTGCCCCCCTGATGTGGAGGCAGGGAGCCTATTTCAAATGCACCCTTCTCTCAAAAGCATTTACTGGTCACTTACTGAAGTTCTCCTATCATATATGTATGTTTACCTGCCAGGCAACCAGCATGCAACATGATTTCTATGTTTAATTTTAATTTATTAATGTTTTAGTTTATATTTTGTGAGTGTGTGTGTGTGTGTGTATATAATAAGCTGCCTTGATTTTTGAAGAAACTGAAAAGTTGCACAGAAATTCACTTAAAAATAATAGTAATCCAAACTCACAAACACTGTACAACACACATGCACACAAGGCTGTGGTCCTCGGTCTGGTTATTGGAGCTAAAGAAGGTTTTCTTTGACTTTGCTTTCCTAGGGCAACCGACGATGAGTGTTACATTTGGAAAGGGAGGGCTGGCTGGGAAACAAATGCTCAGCCCTTTTTCCTTTCCCATTGTTGTCCTGATGTCCTTCTGGAAATCTGGCAGGCTAATAGTTCTTCACAATGGCTAGTTGCAGAGATCAGGATGTGCTTCCCTTTGCTGTCCAGTCCCAGGGTATTTTGCTAATAATAATAGTAGCTGAATTCATGTTTGATACTCAACAGAAACCTATTGTAACATATATTAGGCATTATGTTATCTTTGTTTTTACTATCAATCACCAGAAGGGGTGATGATCATTTATTATCATTTTATCATATTATTATTTATTATCATTTTATCATTTATTATCATATTATTATCATTTACATGATGCCTTTTAGCTCAGAGGGCTTTTGAGATGGCTAAGAAGACAAACTGTAGTACACAAAATCTGAATAAAAACAGTTAAAACCACTGTCAGTGAATTCAGATTGAAAAGACCTGGCAAAAAATCCTTCCCAAAATTGCCAGTGGGGAATCCAGAGACAAAGGGGTTCCGGAGACATTCCCAGACTGCAGACTGCTCTCTCATATGGAGTGTCCTTCTATCAGGAATGGGCTAAAACTTAGTCTGTTAGTTGACTAACAACATCTATGTCTTGCCTGTTAATTCTAGTGCTTTCACTCTCATTCAGTCCATGTATTTGAGATGACCTCTGTCAGTGGTTTGATGTAGATGTGGAACAGCGTAGGAGGCAGGATTGAATTCCATGAGACATCACATATCAGCAAGCAATAACACAGGCTAATTTTGTTGTGACACAGTGCCACAGTGATACATAGGAATTTTGTGACTGTTTTTGTGATGTCAGGGTGCTGGTCCAGTAGCAAGAGGTGGATGTGACCTATTAAATACAAGAGGAGTTATAATGTCAGAGCATGGAATCCTGTAGAATGGGGAACTTAGAAATGAAATTCATTTTTTGAACTTCGCATGGGCATATTCATTCTGAAATGGGGATTTTAAAGCGAGGGGAAAAAGTTTGCTATGGGAAAAATATTAATTGAAATATGTATAGGGACAGCTTAAATCCACCTAAATATCTCCTATTATATATTTTTTTTTCACATGCCAAGATAGGTTCATGAAAGTTAAATGTACAAAGGATGGGATAAGAGCTTTGTGGGCTGGTTAGAAAATGTTCAATTTGCTCTAAAATTACTCTGTTGTAGGGAAAAAAGGATGCAATATTCTCTCTCATCTGTTGCTAGCATTTCTGCTGTTAACAGAATTTGACACACCCTGGACAGCTTGTTGTTATTGCTAATTAGCTAGGAAATGAACTCTTCTCTTTTAATAACATTTCCTTTATTCCTCCCTCAAAAAATAAAATTTCTTTCAGAGAACAGATAACTTGTTCCATTGGTGGGTACTACTCTATCAGCAGTACAACACTGTTGGATAGTTTGTAAGTTAGGCATCCATGAGACTTATATCCCAGCTTTTCTCCAAGAGTTCAGCATCAATCCAGTGAAATAGGTTCAGCTGAGAATGAATGATTGAAAGATACCCAGTGAATTTCAGTGTTGATGGTGGATATGAACCTTAACTGGGGACGTGGTGGCGCAGCGGCTTAATGAGGCTGGAAGTTGCCAGCCAGAAATGGTGGACACTTCAGCAGTTCGAGCCCAAAGCTCCACGGGGCAGGGTGAGCTCCCGTCTTGCACCCTTAGCTCCTGCCCACCTAGCAGCTCGAAAGTGTAACTGAGTAGATAATTAGGGACTCTCCCCCCAGTGGGAGGAAAAACACTGGTGGCACCTTGCACGGGAAAATGGGAATCGGTTGCTGGAGGCAATGCAATGGAAGAGACTCGATTTCTTGCGACCGCCAGCTGAGCTCTGCCCTAGGAAGGAGGCAATGGCAAACCACTTCCGAAAAAACCTTGCCAGGAAAACTGCAGGGACTTGTCCAGCCAGTCTCCGTAGAATCGGTCACGACTGAAAGCGGATTAAAAAAAAAGAACATCAACTATACCATGCTAGCTCCAGATGGTTGTTTGTTAAAAAAGCTGACATAGCTATCAGCCAGGTTTGCTTTTAGCATATCTGTTTATCTAGAAACATTTTCATTGCTAAGATTAAGTATCTCTAGTAAGCTGTTGTTTTTGGTCAACAATTTATGATTTGATTGCCCTGGTCCCACATTCCAAACAAACAAATAATATTGCAGTAACTAATTAACTAACCTGAGGATAGAAAGCCTTTCAGTTGTTAACATAACTGGGTGTGTGAAAATCTATTCAAATATTTGGAATACATTCCTATAAACAATTTCTGTGAATTCTGATGAGCAATGTTGGACATGCTTCCTAATAAACTTGCATAAGATCAATAAAATACTAATCCTACGTCTAAAGAAAATGACTGCAGTCCATTGGCTTCTGATCTGTATCTCAGTACTCACTGAAATACAATTTATGGCCTGCAGTGAAAAATGGTTTGCTTACTCTTCTGCTGAAAAAAATCCTATTGTGTCCAAAACTATGTGTTGTTTATATCTCAAAGTTGTTACCTGTAAACACAATTTTACATAAATGTGTGATGACAGAGTTTTTTAATTGGTGTTGGTTTGGCTGGTATAGACATACAGTTGGGCCCATTATGGAAATAATCACATTATTTTCAGTTGAATAGAAAAACATTACATTAGGATTTACTTTCTCATACAGTTGTGTTTCTGTAATGGCTTCATCTAGCCTCTTATCTTGCCTTAAAAATTGGCAAATTAACATTTAAATCAATTTAGAACTGATCTACAGAATATCATTCCTGCAGAAAGATACTGCATGTTTGCTGTACCTTGTGCCTACAGCTTCTGAAAACAATCACACTTAAAGGTTTTCAGGTAATTTACAAAGATTTGCAGTTTCACCAGTTGATAATGAACAAAACAAAACAAAAGTTTGGTTCTATTAACAAGATATGTTTAATGGAGTTTGGGTGGGAAGGTTGAGGGTGAACACCATAACCCAGTCAACCTGGAAACTAACACAGAATGAATTACTTTTATATGGAAACAGCCCAGAGCCTGTTTGGCTCTGTAATTGTGTAATGCAGATACTGATTGATGGAAGATCCACTTCCCTCCCTTCTCCCTTCCATTGGGAGGAGTGGGCCTTTTGGGTGGTGGGAGAACTGGCAGTCAGACCCGCTTTTCCTGCTTTGTTCCCCTCCGGGCCACCACAATTTGGCAAGATAAGTGGTAGAAATTGTTTTTTGCACAGTGGGAGAGCCCTGACTTTTCCCTGCCCAAAGGCAAAAGACCCTAAAATCAATGGCCAGGGTTCAGAGAGGGGTTGTCCACAGAAGCTTTGGGTGACCTCCCGAATTTAGGTCCCTGCCCATAGACGTGCCTTGGAAAGATTTGCCACAGATATGGCTTGTGGTGGCAGAAGCTGAACAACACTACAATTAAAAGTGGAATAAAGAAAGATGGGCAGTGTCTGACCTGGCAGTCAGCTGTGGCCTGGTTGAGGACGTGTGTTCATGTCCCCAACAAGCTGAGCCAGGGCAAGCAAGATGTGTGGATGAGCCCTCTTGTCTCCTAGTTTCTGAAATAACCAGCAAATAAACAGTTTCAGAATTACTGTAAATTAAAGGCTGAACAGCATTAGCAAAATGTTGCTTTAGGCCAGATCTGGTAGGGAATCCCTGAGTTGGTCAAACACTGGCTTGATTCCATCAAACAAATATGTATCTTTTAAACTAATTATATAACAGTAACATTTATGTTAATTTCATGTGCATGTCTATGTAAAAAAAAAAATTTTTTTTCCCTTTTTGGAACTACAAACACAGTTGAGCTAACTTTTACTCCCAGGCATTTCTCTTTCGTTCCTGTCTTAACTCCATGGTTACTTCATGGGATCAGAGTACTGGCATCAAAAGAGCTGTTCTCTGTTTATTCTTTGCCCTCTGCTTCTACAGAGAGAAGCAAAGGGGGACAGGCGGGTTATCTCTTGTTAGTTCCCTGATCTTCAGAGTAGTGGTTTTATGGCTGTAGAGAGCTGTGTGGGAGAAGAGAGTGGAAAGTGGGATTTCCATTATGTAGATATGCACATCAGTGGCAAATAATACTGAGGGATTGAAAAATGTTGAAATAGGTGAAAGTATGCCATGGTGCTGCTGAAGAATTTAGGAGGAACGCTTCCCAAACACACTTTGGTATGTCCAGGGGGAGGGAGGGAGGGGGGCAGAAAAAGTTTTCAGGCTGCAGGTGTCCATCTGGCCACCCATATTGTTTTTCAGATCTTTACTTGGGTAAAGAAATGCATGACATGTACAGTCATTGGCTGGGATCCAAAGGACTGCATAGCTAATTCAGTAAGCTTGTGTGTTGGATCAGAGCTTCTGAAACCCAGCCATCCTACCTACCTCATAGCAAGTCCACTGTTTGATCTCTCAGAACTTTCAGAAGCAGCTGGTATTATGGCAGGCAGAGTTGGATGGTGATCAGCTGTTCAAAGAAACAAAAGTCATGAATCCCACTAAATTATGCCCAAGCCTTGGGAACAATTAATTGGATCTCAGTCATCAGAAGTGATTCCTTGTGTAATGGATCCATGAGAAATAGATTTTCTTGGCCTCTAAAGAACACTGAATAACACATTTATGGACAGAACAAATGGAAGGTTATGCTACCCTTGACTAAGCAATAGGACTTGCATACATAACAAAAAGGAGCATTTGGGGATTACAGCTGCACCTCCTGTATGCTCTGACTGCCTAAGTGCAACATGGCTTTGAGCCAAGGGATTGCTGGTAGAGATTCCTACCAGAAGGGGCCTGTGGCAGTCCCCCTACAAAGAGGCAATTATTATGATGTTTTGATGTTGATCAGCAGGCCATTGAGATTATGTTTTTGTTATCTCGTTCAGATTGAGAAAATGAAAATATTTTCTCCCGAGAATATAATAATGCTCCAGAAAACCTAGATTCACTCTGATTGTCAGTTCATTCGGAAGCAGCACTCTCCTTTGTGGGTGCTGTTTTCCAAATCAGTGGAATTCCTGGAATTACCATCACTTAATACTCAAGATGATGTTTAAATAAGGACTGAATTGGTCCTATTTGCTTACTCTAAAAGCTTTTTTCCCCTTTTTTCAACCATAGTGAAAACTTTACTTTTTTGTCTCCTTGTCTTCAAACCTGCAATGCTGGTAAATTTGACAGAATCCTCAAAACTCTGTGATTAGTTCTTCCTATCTGATCAGAGTGATTTTTAGAGCATAAAATTTACTGTTGGAAATACTTAAAAGCATTGTTTACTGAGACTGATTGCCACCAAGTCTTTTGAATGGAAACTACTGTATTACTATTACACACAATTCTTAGAATCATTTGAATCTTTACAAGAATTTGTGACACAACTAAGGTTTTATAAAGGAAGAGACCCAAATTTTAACTGTCATTTTATGAATGAGACCCAAGTGTGAAAAGGTTTACAGACATACCTAATCAGGAAGCTAGCATTGAATTGGTGGCATGGCTTGTTAGATTAAGTAATTTTATTAAATCTACCCAAGTATTAATAAAATACAAGTTAGACCAGGATTCCAACTTCCTTTTCACTAGTTAACATTCTTTGTTAAAATACAGTCAGTCTTTTGCCAGTCTTGGTTTCCCTTCCTCCTTGTTTGTTTATTATCTAATGCTTATTCTTGTGTGTCAGTATTCTTAGTGATTACTGGGTTGCATAAAGCTCTACACTCACATAATGAGTTGGCTATTTAATATACAGGCGGACTATAGTTTATTATTTGCTTATGGGGATTTGCAACCAGCTCCACAGATAGGAACTCCCATGAAATTAAAACATAAATAACATTAAGCAGCATGAAATAGCAGATCAAAATAACACAATCCAAAAGACCTTCATGTCATATTGAAGATACATCTGCAGGCCAGGACTGGGGCATAACTGAAAAAACAGTTATCATAGCTCACCCTATGCCTTAACTCCTGTGGGGATGTGTGGAAGGGCACCGCTGAGGACTCATAATAACTTGGGCAGTTTGTATAGGAGTTGGGATAGGAGAATTCATGCTTAAAGCCAGCTTTAAATCAGCATCTACAACTGAGCCCAGAAACTCGAAATGTTCCCAGTTCAACAGAATCAAAAGTAACAGAATTCCATACCAATAGAATTAGTTGGAATACTGCTGACCAACTCTTTGGCAGATAATGTGAAAAGGAGAGATTTTTTCTATCTGCATTGTCAACTTTGGATCAGGATGGGATCCTATGCTCAGCATCTTTCCGTGCCTGGTCCCCTATTCACATATACTGTATGTCTGTATGGTACACATAGCCCTTTCTTCATCATATATGTAGTTTCGCTTGCAAGGCCTGTAGATAAATGCATGCTCAGTGAGTCAAGAAATACATGGGCATTTTCCCTCTTCTTGTTTGCATGCAGGTGGAAAGGTGGCCAGAAACTGGATTTGTGAAGAAGCTTCAAAGAAGGGACAATACTTTCTACTATTATGATAAGGAAAGAGAATGTGAAGACAAAGAAGTCCGTAACGTTAAAATGTATGCCTACTAATTTATGTTATATCCACTGTTTTTAGAAATAAATTTGTTTGAATGTTTTTTGTCTTGAATAGAATGGAACCCATTAAAAAAGTTTAAGACTAACTTGATCTGATTTTATATATGGCTGCACTCTGTGAAAAAGAAAGATAAAGATAGTATTCTTAATGAACAATGTAAAAATAAGCATAAAAACACAAAAGGAAGGATTGCTTTTGAGATTTCAGTTAGTTTGGGGGATTCTTAAGGCTGTGATGATATATCTGTTTACATGGGAGATGAACTCAATGGACTTTTTGAGGTATGTGCATCGTGCTAGTCTTGGCTTGGTCTACTTCATATATTTTAATATATTTTCTGAGTAATATGGTTATAACTCTCCCCTTGCTCCCTTCAGTTCCATTTTGGTACAGCTTCACCCTAGATGAATTGGGTAAGAAAGTGTTACCCATAACAAAGTCTAGATTGCTACCTTTAGTGTTTTAAAAGGAAAAGGATCTACAGCTCTACAGCAAATGTAATCAAATATGTTTGTGGGGATGGGGGTCCCTAGGAAGTTGTTAATGCATGATTCATTTCTATATGATAAAAGATGTTTTCCTGAAAATGTATGTATAGTTTGTGTATTGAATGTTGCTACTCTGAGGTTGAAGCATTTATTATTGTTTGTCTTGAAGGATACCGGATCCTGTTTATGATATTTATGCTATAACATTATCATAAGCTTTTTTGATACCGCTGAATATAAATGGGAGCTCCATATTCCCTTTGCTGATTGAGATCTCCTTTAGCACAGAGAAGAAATTGAGACCCACTTTGAACTAAGTAAGAACTGAAAGGCGTAGAGAATTAATTTACTCACATCAGGCTTTTTAATTTGTTTTGCTCTCCCCCAGTCATGTCAATAGCAACAGACAAAGTCTTTCTAGTTGACCTTTCCATTGCTCACTTGGCTGAGGTAGAAAACCCTGACTTGGAGAGCTCTCCCAATCCTCCCTTGCTATTCATACCATGGCAGAAGATGCCTGAAAGACCCATTTGCCATTTATCAGATATTGAGAGCAAGTACAAACTTGCACTAGTGGCCTGGAGATCTTTGGATCGGGTTCCTAGTAGGGCACTAGGCAATTTTTGGTGGCCAGATTTGCCACTTCTCATGTTCCTTATCTTACTCTAATACAACAAGCTTCCTTAATCTCTGCCTTCCAGATCTGCTCCAAGGTGCCATAAGAGTGATAGGCATTGTATTACAGTCTGTTTGAAGGGTACCAGTCAGGGAGGGCATTTGCTTGCATGAAACTGCTGTACTCTATTAGTCAAATAGGTAAAGGTGAGAGTGACCTATTTAACAGTGGGAGTAGGGCAGGAAATGCTATTCCATCAGTGATTATCAGGTGCAAAGTACAAAACAAATGTAATGTCAGGTTCCACTCTAATGTGAAACAATGCAGTATAACTCAAGTGTTTGGAGGTTTCTGGGGCAACCCTGTATTGTACTTGAGGAACAAAATAACAAAGATTGCTCCATAGCTTTTATGGGAACAGAGAGCATGCACACACATCATTTTGCCTTCTCATAATTCAGACTTAGATTTCTTTCTTTTGGCACAGTACCAACTTGTTGGATGTATCAGATCTGTCTGCTGAATATAAGAGTGGTCTAATGATGAGATGTGGAATAAATAGAATACAAAATCTCCCTTGCCTGCATATGTAATGCAGCTTTATTACTTTTGAACCTCGGGGTTCATTGCTGGATTATTGCCAAAAGAACAACTGAATCTTTTGAAGGTATGGTCTGTCTCTGTGGATTCTGTCTGTGCCATTTGGATATTCACATTACTGATGGGGTAGAAGGAAGATAGGGAAGATAAAAGCTTTTCAGGGGAGTTGCATAGCTTAGTGGCAGAGTGTAGCTTTTTCGTGCAGAAGATCCCAAGGTTAGTTCCTGAATTCTCCAGCCTATCAATCACAGCCCGCAGAGCTCAGGAAGGAAAGTATCCATTGCAAGCCATTAAGGCAGACCTTGATGGATTAAAGTTTGAGCTAGAAGACTCTAAGAGCACTTCCATGGGGGGCACTGGTACCATGCTCCTTTGTTCCCTAGCTGGCATAGTCATTGGGCAGCTGAGCCAATTTTCTTGTGGTTCAGCTGTTCAGAATCTCAAACTGAAAATCATCTGTGGAGCTCCACAAGGCTTGGGAGTGGGCAGTTTTCCCACTGGCAGGAACTCTTGCCAGCAGCCACTTCCATAATTCTGCCTCTTGACTGCAGTCATCCTAAGCCCTGTGGTTGCCTTGCACTGAACTCCAGGACTTTTGTGGTCAGGCCAGTTTCGTTTCTTCTACCCCCCACCCTCACCCCAATCAATTAATACAGCAAGATAAGGACAGAAACACAGGCCTTTCTGAATGTCCTTATCCATTTGCTGGAAAGAGTGCAGATTGGTTCTAGCCATTCTTGCAACTGCAGCAGCAATTATACTTATAAGCAGTTGTAAGAATGGCTCTTTGGTTACTGTGTGGAATTGCCCAGAGATATTCATATGATACTCTGTGGGGTAGACTGTAAGTCTTATTTACCTTTTTTTTTTTTTTTAATTTGGCATTGGCTTCTGATGTCCCAGGAAAAAAAAATACTGATTTGTGGCACTCACTTTACTGTCACTTCAGTTTTGCATTTCAAAGCACCTTTTACCAAGTGATAGACCAGTATTGACATTTAGTTTGTAAGCTGTTTGGATAATTGATTACTGTGGCACTCAGTCCTAGAGCCTGAACCCAGGGCCTTATTCTCCCATTAGATACTTAAGATGATCCCTCCTTGATCTTGTTTGGTATAGAAAGGGGCTGGGGGAAACTGGCAGGCTTTCAAGATTCTGCTATTATACCTTACAGCAGCAATTGTCCTTGTGGAGTCTGTTTCTTGACCAAGCATGGAGCAACAGAGGATAATCCTAAATATATGAAGTTGTAAATCCACTGTCAATTGTTTACCTGTTGCCTTCCAGGTGTATTGGATTCCAATTCCCAGTCAGCATGTCCTATTTTTTTCCATGGCACTTCTTGGTAATTAGGTGGATGTCTACAATCTAATGACTTCAACTGAGACTCGAACGTGTGCATCATCCCCTTGCAGATGTACAGTGGGGCAAAAAAGTATTTAGTCAGCCACCAATTGTGCAAGTTCTCCCACTTAAGTGACCAAATACTTATTTTCCACCATGATTTGCAAATAAATTCTTTAAAACTCAGACAATGTGAGGACATCTTGCTTGTTTGTAGGTGACCAAATACTTATTTTCCACCATGATTTGCAAATAAATTCTTTAAAACTCAGACAATGTGAGGACATCTTGCTTGTTTGTAGGTGACCAAATACTTATTTTCCACCATGATTTGCAAATAAATTCTTTAAAACTCAGACAATGTGAGGACATCTTGCTTGTTTGTAGGTGACCAAATACTTATTTTCCACCATGATTTGCAAATAAATTCTTTAAAACTCAGACAATGTGAGGACATCTTGCTTGTTTGTAGGTGACCAAATACTTATTTTCCACCATGATTTGCAAATAAATTCTTTAAAACTCAGACAATGTGAGGACATCTTGCTTGTTTGTAGGTGACCAAATACTTATTTTCCACCATGATTTGCAAATAAATTCTTTAAAACTCAGACAATGTGAGGACATCTTGCTTGTTTGTAGGTGACCAAATACTTATTTTCCACCATGATTTGCAAATAAATTCTTTAAAACTCAGACAATGTGAGGACATCTTGCTTGTTTGTAGGTGACCAAATACTTATTTTCCACCATGATTTGCAAATAAATTCTTTAAAACTCAGACAATGTGAGGACATCTTGCTTGTTTGTAGGTGACCAAATACTTATTTTCCACCATGATTTGCAAATAAATTCTTTAAAACTCAGACAATGTGAGGACATCTTGCTTGTTTGTAGGTGACCAAATACTTATTTTCCACCATGATTTGCAAATAAATTCTTTAAAACTCAGACAATGTGAGAATTTATTTGCAAATCATGGTGGAAAATAAGTATTTGGTCATTTAAGTGGGAGAACTTGCACAATTGGTGGCTGACTAAATACTTTTTTGCCCCACTGTAGTAGCTTTCTTACCTATCAAACTCAGAAGCAGTGGTTTATCTGTGTATTTATTTATGCCAAAAGTAAAATGGTTGCATACTTAGAAATGCACACGTGAACAAAATCTGAATCACAACTGTGGATTGAGAAGATATGTTTTAATGAAGATGTGCTCATCTGTTGAAGTAAAAATTTATGGCATAAAATGACATGCTAATTCCATGATTCTTTAAAATATATTTTGAAACCACATTGTTAAATGTGTACAGTAATTTTATTTAGTATGCACTTACAACTAAGCACAGTACCAGTAAATCAACATATAAACAATATAAACCAGAATCACAATGAAACAATATAATAATCAATGTAAAACATTTCCTAATTTAATACAATAATCAATATTAACAATTCTCAATACAAATTTAGGATAAATTCAGCAAATAACAAGATAGGATGTGACTGGTTTTATCCTGTTTGGAGTTCATCAGATGTATATAGCTAGAGATCTTTCAATGGAGTTCAAACCCTCCCTTTATCAGAAATTAAATGTATGGGCTATTGTACTCACCCTCATACCAACTTGAAGCACAGAGCTCAAGGAATCTCAACCCTAATCCTAATGCAGTAATAATAGAACAGGAAAATAATCCCAATTAAAACTTGTATGTTAAAAATACATGCTTAATAAATGATTTAACTTGTTCTGAGAGCCGTTTGTTGACAGGACTGGATCAAACACAGTTGGGTTACTGTCCAAAATGCCAAATCCCCAAGAGCTCTTTTTGTACAGTTCAGAAAGCTTATTTCTATCCTATTCAGAGACCTCTGGGTATGGATCCACTTTTGCTCCCAATACAGTTATGAATCTGTTCTGGACTGATAAGACCTTTTTGCATTCCAGCCAAGGCTGAAGTAGCTAATGCTGGCCACTCCTCCAGAGGAATGCAGCAGTTCCTTAAAAGA